AGAAGATACACAGGTACACCTCAGAGATACTGCAGGCTCAGTTTAAACTACCACTACAAGCAAATGTAATAAAATGAGGCATACAATTTTTTTTTGTTTTTCTATACACATAAAAGTTATCTTTGCAATAAACTTTAGCCTACTGAGTATGCAACAGCATTATGCCTCTCAAAAATACACATATTTCAATTACATGTAACAACAAAGTGAGCACATGTTCTTGGAAAATGGCACTGATAGACTTTCTCGATGCAGGGTTCCACAGCCTTCAATTAAAAAAAAAATGCAGTATCTGTGAAGTACAATAAAGTACAGCAAAATAAAATGAAATTTATATAAATGGCCAGTAAGCACATGAAAAGATGCTCAATGCCACTAGTTATTATGGAAATGCTAATTCCAGCCATGATGAGATACTGCTTTTCACTCATTTCATTAGTTGCTATCAAAAAATCCAAGAAAACAAAAAGTGTTGGCGAGGATGTGGAGAAAATGGAGCTCATGTGCCCTGTTGCCAGGATGTGAAATGGAGCAGTCACTGTACAAAACAATAGGGTGGTCCCTCAAAAAGTTAAACAGAATAATCATACAATCCAAGAATTCTATTTCTAGATTCTACCTAAAGGAATTAAAAGCAGGGTCTCAAAAAGATGTTGGCACACTCATGTTCACAGCAGCATTATTCACAGTAGCTAAAAAGTGGAAGGAATTCAAGTATCCATTGACAGATGAATGGATAAAGAACATGTGGTATTACATGTATATATTCATACATATATACAATAGGATTTTATTCACACTTAAAAATGAAAGAGAAGATGGAAAACTGCACAAAAATATGTAAAAATAAACTAATATATATAAAAAAGACAGGGAAAAAAAATGAAAGAGATTCTCTCCCAGTTCCATCCATGATTGCTGAGTAATATTCCATTGTGCATATAAACCTTCATCTTCTTAATCTACTCATCTGTTCTGGGATACTTTGGTTGTTTACATATATTGGCTATTGTAAATAGTGCTGTTACAAACAGAGGAGTTTATGTTTCCTTTCAAATTAGTGTTTTTGTGTCCTTTGATAGACTCCTAGGAGCACAATTGTGAGATCAGATAAGGCAAGATGTAAAACTAACTATTGAAATCAGACTGTAGATCTGAGACACTCAGGAGGGGTGGAGGGGAGACAAAAGGAGAAGGGAAGAATAGAGAACATTGGGGAGGCAAGAGAGGTAGAATGTATTAGTGAACTGTGGGCACTTGGTGGTGAGAAAACAATGGTGACTGCAGCTGAGGAGAGAAATCCTATATTGTGAAAAAATAAACAAGGGTGTTTAAAATAAAATTTAAAAAGAAAAAGAGATTCTGACATGCTACAATCATGGATGAAACTTGAAGATATCAATCTAGTCACAAAAAGGTAACTATTGTACCAATTCACTTACAGGAGGTAATTACAGTGTCAAATTCTCAAAGACAGGAAGTAGAATGAGAGTTGTCAGAGATGGGGGAGGGCAGAATGTGCATAAAGAGGCTCAGTTTTAGAAGATGAAAAGGGTTATAGAGGTGGACAATGGCTATATAACATGTGATTGTACTTAATACCACTGAACTGCACTCTTCAAAACAGTTAAGACTGTAAATTACATGTCTGTATATTTTACCCATTTCTCCCCTAATTTGGAAAAGAATACATTGACTATGTGGATTTCTTTGTGAGGGTTCATTTCTAAATCATCAGTTTTATTTCATTGATCTATATGTCCATCTTATATGTCTACCACACATTCCTTGTGACTATAGTTTGTGGGGAGAGTAAGTCCTCAAAAATTGTTTTCATTCTTCTTGGTTTATGCATTCCCATCAGGATTTCACAATCAGTGACTCAGTCTCTGCAAGGAAGCCAACTAGAATGTTTCTGGAATTGTACTGAACATGAAGATGTGACAGGAATTCCATCTTTAAAATACTGAGTCTCCAAAGTCATTAAGATGGATGCTTTCCATTATTAGGTCTTCAACTTCTTTCAACAATGTTTTTTGAGTTTTTAGAATACAATTTTTATCTCCTCTGAAAATGAATTATCATGTCTCATTCTTTTTTGATGCTATTTTAAGTGGATTGTTTCTTAAATAACATTTTTGGATTGTTCATTGCAGGTATAAAACATACATTTGGTTTCTATATATTGACTTTATATCCTTCAGCCTTGCTGAACTTATTCATTTGTCCTAATATATTTTTACTGGATCCCTTAGGATTTTCTAGATCATGTCATCTTCAAACAGAGATAGTTTTCTTTTTATTTCATATGGATGCCTTTTATTTCATTTTCTTCCCTAAATACTCTGACATCCTAAATAGGGCCATCAGGATGCTGAGTAGAAGTAGTGACAGTGACATCCTTGAGACAAAGCAGCAGGTAAAACACCAGCTGGAGATTCAGTCAGTCCACTATGGACAGTGGAATGCCCCACAGGACAAACCCAAATAAACTGCAAGGCAGAAAAATAAAAAGGAGTAGAAGTAATGGAATAAGAAAGACTCACAAGTCATACAAACCAAATGCAATTTCTAAACAACTACTGAAAAATTATAAGGTAATATAGAATTTGTACACTGCCTGGAAAACTGTTATGAAGGAATTATTGTCAATATTTTAGGGGTCATAATGGTAGCACCCTATCTTTTAGAGATACCCATTGAAAGATAATGTCTTCTGATATTGGCTTAAGTAATCTAGGAATAGCAGAGGTGTGGGGGGAAGTCAGGTGATGAGCATGTGGAAGAAATTCATTAAAAAAAAATCACTCAATTTTGGTATATATTTAAGATTTTCTATAATGAAAAAGTTTAAATGTATCCCTGACAGGTCAACTAGGAAAGAGGTGCTTCTTTTGAAGTTCTAATTTTTAGTATGACCTGCCCCCTATGGTCCGTCTTGCTTTCAACCTGGCATTATGAAGGGGAAGGGACCATCCCAGCCACTCATCATCGTTTGGTTCCCACTTGAAGCACCCAGTACCTGTCTTAAGTCCTCAAGGGTTCAGTTTATATATCTAGGACATTAAAGGCTCAATCAGCCATCAACACCTTTAAACACAAGATTTATTAAATAGGAAGTGAAATGCCACTTTAAAAAAAAATTAACCAGAAATGTGTTTAATTGCATTGTATCAATTCTATAATGAACACATTTTTTGTACTGTGATGAAAGTTATAAACAGATTCTGCATATTTATGGTATAAATAATCTCTAAAATCTGTATGCTCTGTAAGAATTGTATAAAAGGAAATGTTTTGGGAAATGAAAAGTTCCACTGGTGAGCTAAAATATTGTGTACCTTCTGGTTCCTGCAGACATCCTCCAGCATTCAAGTTCAGTGAAGGGAACTCAAATGACAATCACGTGCTGGGGAACTCCAAACTTTTTAGATAATTTTGAGCATAAGATTCCTACCTGTGAGTCAAATTTTTGGTTGCATTTTTTTTGTTGTTGCTGTGTCTATTGAGACTACCTGGCCTGATAGTTACTCTTTACTAAGTATTATGTAAATATTATGGGGGCCCCAGCACAGCCCCCAGAGCACCGTCCTACAGCAAACTGAAACCAAATGAAAGCGGAGGCAGTAAAGTATACTAAGAGCTGCAAGTTCACACGAGAAATTATACACCAAGCATCCAGGTGTGGAAGGAAGACCGAGACCAGGGAGGGGGACAGAGAGAGAAACACACAGCAGCTGCAATTCTTCTCTGAACCTGCAAACAAATGAACTGTGAGGACAGTTATCCTCCAAGAGGGTAACTCTTAAGAATACTATGCAAGGAACTTTCAGTGTGATTAGTAGAAAAGGGGCAATTTAAACTAATAGGTAGGATAAACACAAGATGTTCTTTTAGGAGTGGGAGAAAGAGACCAGTTTGAATAAAGCAAGGAGCAATGGCATGATACCAACCACTTCCACCATGTGTTAAATCTGCAGCTGTGGGGTTGGGGTGAGGAGTGCAATGGTGTCCAGAAGTCTTTAAAACTTAGCATTACAATGCAACCCAGTTCTTGAACTACCTTCTTCCTGCCCAATTCTAACTTTCTTCCTTGAGAAAGAGGAGCACTGTCCTCCAAACCACTCCCTTCACCCAAACCCCTACCCTCAGCCATAAGATATTTCCCAGTAACCCTGACAGGTGCAAATCCTACCAGCAGTGTTCACCTTTGTGCAACTTGGATCAAAACCTCAGTGTACCAGGAGAGGCCATACCTCAGCCCAGCCCCAGGGCCCCATACCTGGTAAATTGCTTCATCACAAGCATTCTGAAGGCCAAGATTCACCATCGTATTCTGCAGTGTACGACCCATGTAGAATTCCAGAGACAGGTAATAGATTCGCTGGGGAAGTAAAAGAAAACACCTGAGATTTCTCATCCTTGGTCACACACAAAGCAGGTTACATAAGAGCACTTACCAGAGGCTTTATTTTTGTTAACCCAGTATCCCCCAAATGGACTCACGCCCTTCACCCGCCTTGGACAATCTCAATTTTCAAAGGATAGCCCACCCAGGGGAACTTTCTAAGGGAGAGCCCCTGATCACAGAGAGTGAGTCCCCAAGGAGTTATAAATGAAGTTTCTCTGGTGGTTAGACCAAGGTAGCAGTGGGGAATAGGCTTCTAGAACCCAAGCCAGGCTGGAGTCTGACTTGGCCTCTTTTGGCCGTGTGCCCGTAGTGGGTGACCTATTTACAACCCTAAACCGGGATAAAACAGTCCTGTAGGGGGTACATTTCCAAATGTGAACAGCTTCTGACATCCACCTCAAGTACTCAGTAAACACCACTCAGCAAGTACTCAGCACAGTAAACCCCACAGTAAACCCAACTGGAGGGGTGATGGATATTTCCTTTTCATGAAGCAGAAGTCAGATTTTGCCTGTTTAGGGCCTGTGGGGATTGAGATTTGTGGTAGTTCTGTGTAAATGGAGAGGACATCAGCACTCACTCGTGCTGAGCAAGATATAAACACCTGCATGCTCAGTATTCCGCATATTCCTTACAAGCCCCTTTGATGGGGCAGCCAGGAGGCAGTGGCTAGGCCAGGAAGGTGCTTGTGGCTGGCTCACTGCTGCCTCCTGCGGATGAAAGAAAGACTTGAGAAAAATATATGGGGAACAAAAAACTTCCTAAGAGAATTCCAATTGGTAAACACGGAAGTTAGGGAAGGAATGGACAAAGTCCTAGAGAACATCGTGGTAGTAACCGACACTGGAGACAGATCCAAAGACACGGCTGGGAGGATTCAGAATATCTGCAGGCCCTATTATGGCCCCCAAAACAATTATTCATGACTTGGGTGGACTTAACAAGTGCCTACACATTCAGAAGGTGGAACTCAATTCCCCACTATCTAATGAATTGGGTCTGAAAGGAAAAACTATAACTTTTTTTTAAAGAAAATCCTTCAGGTTTTTCTTAATGTCTTTTTTTTTTTAAAAAGATTTACTTATTTATGCATACAGAACTGGGGTACAGGCCAGAAGTGCAGGGGCGGTGAGAGGATTCACCAGAGTGGGGAGCAGAACAGGTGGACAGATGAAAGGCAAGACAGGAGAGGTCTGTTGCGCCATGTGTATCAGCTCCAGGGGACGGGGATTGAGTCGCACTGAAGTGTCCACAGCTAGCTTGCAGTGCTGTGCCCCAGCCGACTGCACCACCAGTGAGGGCCAGGAAATGGTAACTTCTAATGGAGAACAACACAGGCTGATACCTGCTAGCCAAGGGATGGAGGTGAGTTAGCATCCCCACTGTGGTGAGTGTGGGGCTTCACCTCTGTTACATTCTTTCCAAAATTCAAAATTTGTAACCCCAGACTCCTCATAAGAAAACATCAGACTGACCCAAACTGGAGGCTCGTCACCAGGAAAGCAGATAGAAGGCTACATGTGCATGCTCCATGATCTTTGCAAGCCTCTATAAATCTAATATTGTTCTAAATAAAAAGTTAAAGTCAAACCAGACCTCAGAAAGGGCGTGTCTGTGGTATGTGTGCAAACACACAGGTGGAGAGATGCATGACTGGACTCAGAGGAGAGTGCTGACACAATGGTGGCTGCATCCTTCCTGTGGGTTGAAACCTCCAAGATACAATTTTAAAAGTCTACTCCATTATGGGTCACAGAATGCTGCAAAGGTAAGGCCTGGACTCACCCTCCCTGGCCCAAGATAGGCAGCGGGGCACCTGCACATGGCCTGCCCTCAGGCAGGCGTGGTCCTTGCCTCTGTGCTGTGAGCCTAGGTCCATTTCCTTCATCAATGTGCTAGTGTCTTTTTTTACACTGCCTTTAGAGCTCTGACCAGCAGCTAGCAGGAGACATTTTGAGGAAACTCTGTGGCCATTCTCAGGGTTTTTACAGCAGCATTCTCACTGTTGCTTCCCACTTTACTGCAGAAGTTTTAAAAGCACTCTTCTCATAACCAAAAAGCAGGGTGGGCCTGGTCTGCGGGGCTCCCAACTGCACAAATACCAGCAGGGACCTGAGTGAACAGCATCCATGACATCTTATATCTGTGGATTGGAAGGCTTAGCATTGCCGACATGGCAATATTCCCAGCATAGGTCTAGATATTCAACACAACCCATTGAAAGTCCAGTTAGCTTCCTTGCTAGCTATTACTGATCCTAATATTTAGAGGGAAAGACAAAGGCTTGGAATAGTCAAATTAATCCTGAAAAAAGAACAAAGTTGAAAGACTCACACTTCCTACATTCCAGCCTAACTACAAGAACACAGTCATGAAAATGGACACACAGAGCAATGGAATAGGACAGTGTGAGAAATAAACCCTCACATTTAAGGTCAGTTGATTTTGAACAGGGATGTCAAAAAACTTCAGTAGGGAAAAATCTTTCAATGACTAGTGCTGGGATAAATGGAGAGCAACATGCACTACCTCAGTACATATATAGAAATTAACTCAAAATGGATTTTGTATAAGAAAGTGTAAGAACCAAAACTATAAAACTCTTAGAAGAGAACATAGAAGAAATCCTACAGGATAAAGAAATGGTTTCTCTGAATATGACACCAAGAGAAAAAACAGTAAATAACATAAGAGTTCATAAGAATTTAAAATTTTGATACCATTAAGAAAACAACAACAAAAAGATAGTCCACTGGATGGAAAACTTTGCAAATCATGTAACTGATAAACAGTAAAATAAGTGGCATATAAAAAATAATATACATCCAGTTGTAAAGAGGTAGAAAATGCCTCTGTCAACTTCTTAAAACTCAATGACTAGAAGAAAACAGAAGAGACCAGTTAGAGGAAGCAGAAGAAAACTGACCCTTGTCCACATCAACACAAGTGCAGGGGTGGGGACACAGGTGCTCTTCTCGGTTTTTCTCTGCCTTCTGAAGCCAAGGAAAGGATAAAGCACTTTACACATTCATGTACACACTACAGAACATTCTCTCATGTGCTCCTGGGAACCAGGGAGGGGTTGGTCCCTCCAGGCTGCCCACACCAGCCTTTGCCCATATGCAGCTGCAAACAGCTGGTTTGGGAAGAATTGCCTGTACTCTGAGATATGGAGAGAGCTACATTCTTGGAGCAGGGAGTGGGGTGGGGGTGGGGGTCAGCCAGGAAAACAGAACAGAAAACACAGAGGGCAAAGTACGCCCAGCACGAGCATTTACACAGGGGTGAATTCAGAAGTAAGAACCATTCAGGAAGCCCAGCAACACTGATAAGGTAACAGACCCAATCATGAATTCAGACAAATAAAAGATAAAACCAACAGAGATGAAGGCACCACTGAGTGTAAAACAGAAGCAAAAGTGAACACAAAAACCCTGTTGGAAAAGTGAACAAATTAGGGGAAAACTCATAAAGGAGTGGAGAACAAAATAGCCACATGGAAGATGAACTACATCTGCATGTTGTCCCTGAATAAGGAAGTTGAAAAGTACAAACTTTCTTTACACACTGAAATCTACAAAATTGAAAGGACATGCATGGAAAAAATAAAGGCATACGGACTTAGCCTTTGTGAACATTTCTGATTATCTGCACGTCTGGCTTCGCAACTGCTACTGAATTCCAATATCCTTTATAGCACACAGCAGCGTAATGACTGCACCTGCACAGCCTCGCCAGGTGCCCCTGCTGTCACTGCCACTCACGCTCCATTGCTCCTTCCTGACCTGTCATCACCTTAGACACTATTTACATTACACTTCAACTGACTTATCACTATATGGGGTTTCCATGGCGCTGTGCCACCCCCACCCCCATTTGGGCATAAGGGCCACTGTGACAGTGCACTGACCAGAAGAAGCCCCACAGTCACATTCCAGCACAATTGTCTCCCTTCTCCCTCACACGTAAGGGCTCATATTTCCCCACATACTTATTGGGTGGTTCTTCCTAAAGGTTTTATAAAATGCTGGCAAGTCAGGAATGTGACTGAGATGCTTTTATTTTGCCTTTAGAGGGATGCACTTTTTAAATTGTTAGTTTAACCTTCCTTGATGTTTAACTAGCACTAGGGAAGAAACGTGATCCTTTTTAAAGAGATGAACACTGCAGCATAACCTTTGATTTACCTTCACAAGGTGAACAGATATGTCAAGGGTTCAGCAGTTTATTTTATTCTGCAATGATGCTGGGAGGCCTTCTGTGTGGGGGTTTGGGGGTGAATGAGAGAAAAATGGGTGTCTGGAGTCTCCATAGCATGGCAGCTCAGAAAAGATGGCATGGGCCAGCTTTAAGCAGGGACTGCTACAGACCTGGCTCTGCTGGGTACTAGGCCTCCATTTACAACTTGTTTCTTTTTAAATGTGTGACTAAAGAAATTGTATAGTTCCCTCCAATGGTTTTGTTTTCCCTAGTTTCCTTCAGGTGGTCCAGAGTGAAAACCACCAGATGGAGGAAGCAGCCAATCACGAAGACACACAGATGTCTGAACCCTGCAGGGAGTCCCTGCTCCCACCCTGCTAGAGGGTGATGTAGGGCCCTTTCACTTACCTAGGCACCACACCCACTTGGGGGACCAACGCAGTGCTAGGCTTGGACTCAGGCAACAGCAGGCAACTTAACAAAGCAGATTTTCAGGGAGAGTGTAAAACCTAATTAGCAGGGTAGTTGTTCTGGAAAAAAGATACCTAAAGGCACTGTCTTTGTCTGAGTAGATCTCACCTGCAAAGGGCCAGTTCCTTAGTGGCCCCAAATTCTGCTGCAGCAGTCAAAGGACATCCTACACCTTGCCTGTTCTCTCCACCTCTCCAGTCCCAAGGGCTTCTGTCTGCCATCCCCGTGGGAGCTCCCCATGGGAGAACTAGACTCACACCTTCTTCAGCCTGGCCACAAGACCCCCTTACCCTTCCACAGAA